ATCTATATGTACTGCACTATACTGTAGATAATATCCTGTGCATGATCGAGAAACATCCATCTATCGATAATCGATAGATAGAGACGTCAATAATTGATCACCTTTTGTCTGCACTTTAATTTTCGATGCTACAAATTTGTTCACATATCCCATTCCGACATATCTCAAAAGATTTACGTATGTGATTCATCCTAAATTCGACACGCTAGCGGAATTATGCTAAACGCTGGGCAATGTTTGGGAATTTAGTACTAATTTTTAGACATTACAACCTCATTTCACAATTCTATGCAAGCACATGTCCATTTAGCCATACCTCAAAGATTTCAAACTTCAAGCTTTCTTCTTTGAGCCCATTCGTATAAAAACATTCTGGTTCCGCTCTTCATTCGAAGCATATCTATATTTACTTTCTTAATTAACAGATCTCTAATTATGCGTGATATCTTATTAAAAAAAAAAGTAGTCGATTGCATCATGTGTGTCACTAATTAATACTGCTGGATATGGGACTCACTGTTAATGGTGAGTCTAATCTAAACTTTAATTATATATTTTTCTTTATTGTTTGAATGCATTAAGATTCATCAAGAACCAATCGTATAGAACATTGTATTGTTTAATGTAATTAATACTTGATTTCCCACTTGCAGCAAGAAGTCAAACCGCAAAACTGGGAATATGTTCTTGTCCAGCCAAAATAGCTTCAAACCTTCTTCATACATTATTTTATTCATGCCCTTCTAGGAATTTCGCATTGAATATTTCTCCACTTATTATAATATCGTCCCTTGTCTCAAAGATTTCTAATGAATGGATTATTTTTTTATTTGGTTTTGTAATTTTCCCTCTTCAATTGTTGACTGAAAGCATTCTATTTTTTGTAATAACTACCTCAACCTTACTTATAAGTTTAGTCAATGTACCCCATATGAGTGGGATGGTCTTCCCCACTCAATCAAGTAAAATGGCAAAAAATTAATATTGGGATATGATTTCACTAATACTGAGTGATAATTGGCTAATTGAAGGTGGCATTGCAAGGTTAATTAGCCAATTATCACTCGGTATTAGTGAAATCATATCCCAAGATTAATTTGTTGCCATTTTACTTGGTTGAGTGGGAAGACCATCCCACTTATATTGGGTAATTGAAGGTGGCATTGCAAGGTATTAACGGGGTTGTGGGAACACATATTTCGGAAATTTGCTCAAATAAGGGTGTTTAAAACGTACTTTTAAGCGGTTATGGGTTCAACCTCCGTGATACTGTGTGTGAGTCTTCCCCTTCCTCTTCTTCATTTTGACTAAAAAGAAAAGACTCATTTTGACCAAAAGGAAAAGATTAAAAAAAAAAAAAAAGGTGGCATTGCAAGGTCCACGTTCACTCAACTCATTCCAATTTGATGTTTCTTTTTTGTCTTTTCAATCTTATATTCAATATTCTTTTGAGAAGTTAGCTTTAAAACTCTCCAATTAAATTCGACAATTGATTATCCGTTGCTCTCAATTCTCATCATGTTTGACCACAAATCACAATTTGCATAATTTTTGTGGTGATCAATTAGTCACAAGTGGGTTATTCAACAAAACTCTCTTAATATATTAATTAATTTAATAGAGATATGCATGAGGGATGCTAGGTTTGGCTCATCAATTCTAATTTGCACTTGATGCTTGCCACTTGCATGATATGACTCAAATGGTGATAAAAAATCTCGAAATCCAACTTTTTTTTAAAGAAACAAATCTGATATGATTTGATAGATGAATTTCACTGACGAGGGTTTATTCCTTTTCATTGGAGAATACATGACGCGGTATTTAATTGATCAGTCTGTAGACTAATGGTTCATCAACCACTTGGGCTTGACCTGAAAATGAGCTCACTTCACTGCTCATCAGTATGGCTCAGCTACCTTAGTGGTGTGCTAATTACGCCGGTTACAAACTGAACAATAATATTATTTTAATACTTAATTAACACGTTAATTATTTACAACATTTATAATATCTCACAATAAACTGAATTTATAAGCACCATTTGGAGTTCAAATTAATTTGAGCCATGTACAAGTGCAATAATTAATATAAATATAAATACACATAGATGCTTCAATTATTTATGTGATTTCACTGCAAAATCGCGCACACATATATATATATATATATTCTCTTATATGGATGTCCGAACGTTATTACCATGCGGATGCCAAATATTTTCTACTATCCCTTCCTGCTTTCCTCCCTATTTACAATGATATATATATATTCTCTTATATGGATGTCCGAACGTTATTACCATGCGGATGCCAAATATTTTCTACTATCCCTTCCTGCTTTCCTCCCTATTTACAATGATTTCCGCACAAAAATAATATGTAGACATCCGAATGAGCATATATATTCATGTATCTTGCACTCAAAAGGATATAATCTTTACATACGTCAATATGGATTCATGAGATATTTGACTAAGGCAATGTGGGCAACATGTGCATATAAATTTAAATAAACATAGGTGCTTATGCGATTTCACTGCAAAAGCTCACACGCACACATACATATTTTCTCTTATGATGCCATGTATTTTCTACTACTCTTCATGTTTTTCTTTTTGTTTATAATAATGTTCGAACTGTAATAACGTGCGAACACCAGGATAAATATCTTGCACTCAAAAGGATATAATCTTTATATATATACGTCAATATGGATTCATGAGATTATTTGACTAAGGCAATGTAGGCAACAGGTGCTATCCTTGTAAAATATATTTTGTATATGATATATATATAAAAGTGCACATCGAGATTAAGCACTTACAATTCAGAAAAGTTGTATGATATCCCCGCACGTATATAGATTAATAATTCCCCAACTCTGATTGCCATTAGTGGCCATTAATTATACCTTACAATATTATCTAGTCACAAGCCAAGTTCTAATTCTCTATTATCCTTTCCATATATAGATGATTGGAGGCAGTCAATTGTCATTGATGGCGAATACAAGCTTATTGGATTTGTCACTGGTTTTATTTATCAGAAAAATGCTAGAAAAATACGTTTTCTTGTGCAAGAATTAATAATATATCACCAATGCGATTCTGATATGAATCGCCACAAACCTGCATCAGGGTTGAACGAATTATATATTGAAGGAATCGTTGACATACATCAAATGGATATGGACTTGTTTCAAGCTTCGGTTCCATTGTTGTGATTTCAGAAGTGAATATGGACTTGTTCAGGTAAAGGGTTCATTATACTTTCTTAATTAAAATTCTCATTAGCGAGAAGCAATTTAGTAAATAATTAGGACCACGTAGTATAGATTAAGACAATTTTTATATGCAGTGTTCTTACTTTAAGCATGTGTTGTAAAGATTAATGTTTGCATGCTTTTGAGTTAGTATTATTCAATGTGGAGGGAGACATATTCTCTTCTCATGCACGGATCTGAGATTCAAAACAATTTTTCCAATCGGAAAGCTTTTATTGAAATTTTGGCATAATCTATATACTTTGTTTTTATGACATTTTCGAATTTGTATATAACATGTTAAACACGTTTATTATTTACTTCTACGTATTCAACTACATTTTTAGTAAATAATTAGGACCACGTAGTATATATTAAGACAATTTTTATATGCAGTGTTCTTACTTTAAGCACGTGTTGTAAAGATTAATGTTTGCATGCTTTTGAGTTAGTATTATTCAATGTGGAGGGAGACATTCTCTTCTCATGCACGGATCTGAGATTCAAAAATGGCTTTAGGCCAATTTTTCCAATCGGAAAGCTTTTATTGAAATTTTGGCATAATCTACTTTGTTTTTATGACATTTTCGAATTTGTATATAACATGTTAAACACGTTTATTATTTACTTCTACGTATTCAACTACATTCTCAAGAACTTCCCTAGTTACACATAAAACAAAACTCGACGACACGATTGATAAAAAAGAAAACGTACACCTAGGTGCTAATAACTTAATAACACAACTTCAATTAAAAAAATAAATTACTAGAGAGTAGCACTCATAAATTTCTATTACACATTAGTTGGAAAAAAAAACCCTATAATTTCTAAATCCGTAAATAAATTTTTTGAAATAATCTTATAATTAAATCACAAGAAAAAGTAGTGTACAAGAAGAAGAAAAATAAAAAAAGTTCGACTAAAAATAAAAATGAAGAAGAAAAAGAAAATGAAAGAAAATAAAAAATAAGAGAGATGGGCACTCACATGTGAAGTGGTGGAGATGGGCAGACAACGGGAGAGGTTCACACAGGTTGGCTCTTGGATGGAGAGAGAAGAAGGTTGTTGGGGGGATAAAATCGGATTGGGTGTAGGATACAATTTGGGCTATTCTCTTTATTTTATTTTATTTAAAAGCTGGGCTGGGCTGGGCTGGGCTGGGCTGGGCTATATAGAAAAAGCAAGAATATTAATGGGATGGTTCCTCTGCTTTACGTGCTCTGCCTCTGTCTTTTCATGTGCTAGGTTTTGGTATTTGGTCTTGTTGGTCCACATCTTACCTAAAATCCGAACTGGCAAAGGGAGGACTCGCCATTTCAGAAACAATCCGACAATTTTTTAGGGGAAATGTAGCCTAAAGTTAGCTTTATTTGCACAAGTAAAAAGTGGTATCTATAATTATTTTTAAAATTTTCCAAATTCAACAACACTTGCGAAGGGTTTGTAGCTCAAGTGGTTAAGAATATTTATCCCGACATCCGTGTTCGGTTTCGATTCATTCTTCCCTCTCTCAATATCAGTTGTATTTAAAAAAAAAACTTAGAACAGAACTTTTTAAAACTTGAGAAGTTCAAAGCTTGCAAAGTAAGAAGCGGCAATGTTGGGTCTTATTGGGCCTTTTTGGGCTTAACTGAGGTCAGTCCACTTCAGTAATGCACCCTAATAATGGGCCTGGCCCAAAAAACAAAAGTCCCATCTAAAAGAAAATGGAATTAACCGAAACAAATATTATGACTCAAAAGCGACGTCGCTTCGAAAAGAGTCTGAAACTCCTCTTTCCGTTGGTAGGAGAAAAGCTTCCGCGCCTGGACTTCAACAAGCAATTCTCACCAGGTAACCTAAATTTGAAATTATTCAAAGTTAACATCTTTTCGTTCTAAAGAAAAGCTAGATGGGTCATCTTTTTGGCTAATTAGGGCTCAATTTCAATCAGGTTTTGATAGATGTTGGGTTCTTATCGAATATGAAAATTGGAGTTTGGCAACTTTAATTGGTACCAGAAAATTGGGATTATTGTATTTTAGCGGAATTATATTGGGTTGCATTCGATTTTGGAAAAAGGAGAGCAAGCTTGTTAGAAATCTTTTCCCATATGTCTTGGAAAAATTTGAGCTTCGGAATTGAAATTGAAGGTTTCAATCCTGATGTTCGAAATTTGATTGCTTTACTTAACTGAAAGAAACTTTAATTATAGGTATATACTAATCTTACTGTTGTCTTCAAGTTTGAGATTATTGGAAATTTTAGACTACACAATTTATTGAAGTGGAAAGAGAAGTGCTGTGTAAAGCAAGCTCTGGATATTTTCTTTTACCTATATAGACTGAAAATTTTAGGTGACTTGGACATAGAGTTAGAATAACATAGCGTGTTTTAGCAAACAGGTTGAATTTGCTCTTACAGATGAATTGTAAGTTGGTTGTTCTGTTGCTTGTTATGAAAATACAAACCCAATTTTATGTTTCCATAAGAAAATAACTGTGGTGTCTCTCTTGGAAACTGAAAAAAAATGCAGATGAAAAGTTTATTTCAAGTTTTACTGAAGCCAAGTAGGTTTGTTATATGAATCACATGCACAAATATTTGCATCAGCTGCACTTTTACTGTTTGTATTTTGGGAAGTTCGAAACTACCAATTTCACGAAAAACTGTTATTTATCTAATGTTTTACTGCTAATTGGCTCATTTCCGCTTGACAGGTACGTTTTTAAAGAGCTTTATAGTGGACTGAGATGGATACATCACAGAATGCAACAGCTGCAACCGGTGGGAGTGGAGGAAACGGGGTTTTGGTCCCTCAAACGAATGATATAACTGGAGTAACAGTGGTGGATGATCCAAAGCAAAACCTGAACGAGGTCAATAACTCTATTCAGAAAATTTTGGGGCTCATTCACCAGCTCTACCTCACTGTCTCTTCGTTCAATGCCGCCTCTCAGCTCCCCCTCCTCCAACGCCTGTAATTTTCTCAGTCTGAGCTTCTTCAATAATTATTCAAACCTTTTGTTCTCAATATATTTATTGTTGCTTGAAGACTTTCTCACATTAGGTTTGATCTCTCAGAAATGCTCTTGTTATTGAGCTTGACAACATGGCTAAGTTGTCCGAAAAATGCAATATCCAGGTTCCTATGGAAGTTTTTAAGTGAGGCTTCTTCTCAAATTTGCTTTCTAACAACTGAAGGTTCCTCCTTTATGGACAAACTCTGACTACTGTTGACTTATTAATTTTGTTTAGTTTGATTGACGACGGGAAGAATCCTGATGAATTTACAAGGGATGTCATTAACAGCTGCATTGCCAAAAATCAGATCACTAAAGGCAGAACCGATACCTTCAAGGTAACTTTTACAGTGTGAAAATATTGCTTAGTTCCATTTCATTGTTTCCAAGTTTGTCATGATTCAACATTCTACTCATGTTTTTTTTTAGAATTTACGCAAACATCTTCTGGAGGAACTTGAAGAAACATTTCCTGATGAAGTTCAATCTTACAGAGAAATACGTGCTGCATCTGCTTCTGTAAGTTACCTTGCATTGGCCCACTAACATCTTGTACAAGGATTTATAAAACTTATTAGCCTCCTTCACAGATGTACTTTGACTGCATATTCTTTTTATACAAATTAAGTGAAGAAACCTTCTGCCTTTCTTTCTTTTTGGTCATTCATCGAGATCAACAACCGTCCTCTGAAGGTTTACCTTTTGGCAACTAAATCTGCTGCCAATGTGTTGACTCTGCACCCAGCAGAAGTCAGATTGTTTGTGTTTATTGTCCATATTGTGTTCGAGTTATTGTCGATATTTGTGTGTGTGTGGTTCATTATTATTCTCGTAGGGGTTTAAGCTGTTTACTTACGATACAGGAAACAAAACGGCTTGCACAAGCACAAAGCATATTACAGAATGGGGATATGAAGGTCAAACCGGAGCCTTAAATGTGTGATTTGTTTATGTGTCATGTTCTTCGAGTCCACGTCTTACCAATACCATGCTTGTAATCTGATGGGATGTGAATTCAAGAAGCTCTCATGCATGAGTGGTTGAATATCACATTTCCAATTGCTTACGAAGTTCTTCACCTTTTCATGATTTTAGTGATTAAGGATCCCTTTGAATATTAGTTTCTACACTTGTTATATGCTCTGGGACCTGTCAATTTCCTCTGTTATATATAACTAAAGTTTGTAAACAAGGAATTTTACAGTTCCTGAAGTTTGAGGTGGACTTGCTTCAAATTTATATAAATGGAGCCCGAATTCAATTGCGATTTGGGCCTTCAAACTAATCAACCGGACAAACCCACACCAATGACACTGTGAAAATGAAAAATTGCCTAACAAGTCAGAAAAATCTTTTAAAAAGAAAAAGAAGTCCAGAACTGACATATTGGTACCGGTAGCTTTTATAATAATGATAAAAATATTGCTACGTTTGCCAGTAAACTGTCTCCTCCAGCAGCTCCTGCACTTTCTCAGTTGTTTCATTGGAGCTTTATTTATATAAAAACTACTAAAGCAAAACTTAATGCGTCGTGGTATGTATGTTCGAGTTTGAAGTTTGAAATATATATAAATTTATATAAGAAACACTCCCACCAAAGCCTTGGTTTTATTTTCTACGTTGTGTAGTTTGCAAAGAATCTTCCTTGCTCAATCAAGGCCTACATGAGAGAAAAGCCAGAGCAAAAGGGCCGTCACCTTTTCCACTTTTTGCAACTACTCTTGCACCTTCGTTTTCTTAATGTTTTATTTGTATGGGGACGAGGCCAATAGCTTCATTATTTTAAGCAACAAGATTATATTTAACAATGGGGTTAAAGCTTTTAAGATCAATTAGTGGCTGCTGCTGCAACAAAGTGCTTTAGAAATCAGCTTATTTGAAAAAGAAAATGTAAATGAGAAATGGGAAATGGAGTAGATAGTCAGCTGGATCCATATTTATGATTGGCCATCTAGGGAAATGCACCGGACACACACAAAACACCATGTGTAGTCCACTTCTATGTGATGACTCAACGTCATGAACGTCTTAGTTTTAATGTCGAACGCAATGCAAAGAAAGTTACCATTGCAATTCTTAAAGAAAACTTCTAAATTTGAAGCTCTATCTCAAAATGTTATTAATGGTGAAAAAAAGGAAAGGTAAAGCACCATATTTTTGTCCATCAAAGCGATTTGATGAATGGGGTTGTGATTACAAATTGGTCACACAGCAGGTAGGTACTGAGCTTTGGAAATAAATGTTTGAAGAATTTTGATGAGGAAATGGGGAGGAGACAATGCCGTTAATATGTGTGGTGGGAATTGGGAAAGAACAAAAATCTAGGTAAAGTTTGGTATCCGTCTAAAGATGCTTTTAGGTCAATCACCATGAAATTAGGGAGCCCGGGAAAAGAGAAATGCAAATCTCACAAATTTTTCTTTAAAAAAAAAAATTTATTTCTCATGAGACTGGGGTCAAAGAGGTGACTGCAGGTCAATGGACATCTTAATGTGGTCCTGAATCCAACCAAAATGTTGCCATGCTTCCTATCAATTGTGTTTTCCACTTTTTTTTTTTCTCTCTTAAATAGCTTTATTATAAATAAATAAAATGATGGTAAATATGTGTAAAATTGAATTTTGTTTTGGCACAAACTTGTTTATCTTATTCAAGCAACATGGTCACCAAGCACCCAATTTGAATTTAAATTTCAATCCCTGTAGTTGTAAAAAATTATTTTCTGTGGTTGCTGTGGCTTCTTTGACAAAGCTTGAATTAATTGCTATACTAGCTAGGATGGTTGATCATCTATATATATAACTTCAAAAGGCTATTGGTTTTCTTTGTCAAATATGCTACATGATGATAAATTAACGTCAATTTGTAGTTGGCTATGATTTGACAACACATGACTTCTTTTATGTAATTTTCATTTTCAACTTCTCACTCACTTCTTTAGGCTTAGACTCACATGCTTGTTGGAGATTAGTATAAGAAAAAGAAAAACTTAATGAGTTGCATTATCAATAAAAATGTAATCATGATATTGGAGGAATGTCGTGTTTGCCGTCACGTGTTTATTAGTGTTTGAGAATTACTGGTGATAGTGGACTTCACAACAATCAACGATTCGGAGTTGACAATTTATATATGCATAAGATTGTACCTCCCATCTCTGATATGTTTAAACATTTAAAATTAATATACAACAACATGCAAGGTGGATTTGCTTAGATTTAGGCAAAGCAATGTGTATGATGATGTACATAACATATATGATGTATAGGTGAATTTTGGAATGAGAATGGATAGACCATTCTATGAACAGTAGACCAGCAAGCACCTGAAAAATAATGAGCTGTAGCCTGTAAGCCTGTAAGCCTGAAAGCCTGAAAGCCTGAATGCTGACTCTTCTTCCTCCTTCCCCCAACTTTTTAAATTTGTCAGTCACTCTGTGTCGTCATCTTGAATCCCCCGCGACCGTAGTAATAAAAAGAAGTGAAAACGCACCCAACGAGGGATTCTCCTTTTCGTGAATATTATTAAATGCTTTACCAAATTCCACCATAAATTATATTCAAATAACAAAAACATATGCAAAAGAAAAAGAGAAAAAAGTAGAAAAAAAACCCAAAATCCAAAAAAAAATTTCCTATATAGGGGTCGGTGAATTAGCTCAACTAAACCACTGAGACTCATCCTTTTTGTTTACTTTGTTGGTGTCTCATCTTTATCATGGTCTTCGTCACCATCGTACGGCTCAAAATAGGTTTTCATTTTTAAGGTTATAAATACTCATCAATCATCGTCCTCATATCATCACAGAAAACGGAAAAGAAAAAAAGCGTAGAGAGGCTAGGTGTGCTTAGAGTTGGCTTTGTGGAATTGGGTTTTTGTTAAAGTTGAAATCTTTGGGTAGAGAGATGATGAGATTGATGGAATTAGTGTTGTGGGCTGATGATATGATTAGGTCATGATGATTAAGCTGTAGAGGAGACAAGGGATTTGATATTAACGTGTAAAGTGTGTGTGTGTGTGTGTGTGAGTGAGTGAGGGGAGGGTTTAAGGCTCTCTGTGTGTATATATATATGTATATATATTGCATGGTAGAGACGATGGGACAAGTGAGTGAGAGAAAGAGATAGAGAGAGAAGAGAGTGAAGGGGGTTTTGGGTCGTGGTCATTTCTGTAAACCCAAGACCCAGTTGGTAGGGTCATGGGAGGGGTCTCTGCAACTTTAATTTACTTTGTCCTTTTCACCCTCTCTCTCTCTCTCACAAGTCTCAGCCTTTTTATCCCATCATCTCTCGTACCACCCATTTCATTTTTCTCATTCACCATAATCACATACACTCCGCTCCTCTGTTTCTCTCTGTCTTCTCTGCTTAGTTTAGAAGTAGCCTGAGGTTTCTTGGGTAAACTTGGTTCTGTGAAATAGAGGCAACAAACAAAGATCAAAAGAGAAGAGGAAGCTAATTTGTTTTTGAGGGGAATGTTGTCTGGCTCGAGGCCCCTAACTAGATCCATGATCTTCATCTCAATTGATGTCAATTTTAATCAACAATCTTTAACAATATAGACTCAGTTGAGACAGATCATTTGGTTCTACATTTAGTGACGTCGGACCAGGCTTCATTCCCCCCAATTATTGCTTCCAATCACACAGATCTTCACTTACCCATGTTAGATTTTTGCCTTGATCATCCAAAGGTGAGGCCTTTTTTCAATCTTTTGTTGAATTTTTTTTCTTTTCTGCCTTTATATCTATGTATTTTTCTGAACTTTATTTAACCCCCCCTTTTTTCTGTTGAAAGAAAGAAATTTTGTACATGGGTTGTTGGGCAGGCAGATGCAGATTGGTGTAATGATGAAGGGGTTTGACTGTTCTTCTCTTTTCACCTTTTATCTCTGACGGAAGTGGGGAAAAGATCTTCATCATTACTCTTTTATTTTATTTATCTTCTAAATTTCATGAATATTAGCAGCATATATGCAGGGTTGCGTTTTCTTTGTCAGGCTTCCCCCACGCCCTTTAACTCTTTCAGGTTCATATCATTGGGCTGGTTTTTTTCATGATGGCTTTCAAGAATCTTCTCTGTCCACTTCTGTTCTCTCTAATCCCACACTTCACTTTTAATTGCCTTCTTTTACCTACCACAACCCTATTTTCACTTGTGCATTATAGCACCATGGCCTATATAGGGTTTCCATTTTCCACACTAGGTCTCTCTCTCTCTCTCTCTCTCTCTCTTAAATATTATTAACCTTGTTCTATTTTCTTAAATACATTCGCTGTTAATTTTCCTCATTTTTTCCCTTCTGATTATTATTTATATTATACATGAATTCTGGTTGCTGCTCTGCAGATTTACATGCCTGCAGAACAAGTGTTTGATGATCTTTTGTATTTTTTCTTTTATGTTCAATTTACTACTTTTGTTGTTAGTGTTAGTTGGTGGAGCCAGCTTTGGAGCTGTGTATTGTATTGTAATCTCCATCACTCTAGATCTGTGATAATTCAGATGATTAGTTTGGTTGGATTGTAAAGGATTTGTGTAGATCTGAGTTCTTTTATAAAGATCATGTTTATTATCTTTATTATGCTATTAATCTCTTTGAAAGATGTGATCCAAGCTTATGCTTTAATTCCATCTGATCCCATCATATGAATTATACAGAGAGAGAATAATCTTTCAAGGCTGACAGATGTGAGATGTATGACTAAATTGTATCTGAGAAGCAACCCCAGTTCTTACACTGTTGAAATATCCCTCTTAAAAATTTGAGTTTTCTTCAACACAATGCGAATTTTTTTTTTTAATATTTTGAATGACAACACAACACAATACAATGTGATTTTGATTGTGCTCCCAGGGATATAATTTTCATGCAAAACAAGTAAAGGAAAAAACGATGTGATAGATTGGACTTCTCTGACTCTGGCTGGGTTCACAAGACCTTAAATTATGAAGCACTCTCCTCTTTGCTCATAAGCGAGATGTACTTAGCAGCTAGAATTACATACTTCAATTTTCTTAGTTCTATATGTACATATAATATTTAAACTATTTGTATAGACTATAGAACTTGAATACATGAATAACTGTGTGCGAAGTAGCGATTGACTAGTACTGAATACCGATCTACTGATTATTGGTATTGCTCGATGTATTACGTACCAAATGTAGACCGAATATCAAGCGATCAAATGTCGATAATGTACCATAAAATGATACCGAGTATCAAACATTTTTTTTTATAAAAATGTCGACATACTAATCGTCTTCTTAATTTGCTTAAGATTTCATGGCACTGCCTAGGCACACTGTAACTCATTTCTCTCAAAATGTGTGCTATATAGATCTGTGTGTGTGACAGTGTGAAGAAAACTTGTACGGTGGGGGGTGCCTGGTGGGGTTGACGTGATTTCGTGTATGATTTCCTCCAGTTTGCTGTTGCTTACAGATCTCATATCAGGGCACATAAATATGTTAAGAACAGGAATAAAGGATGAGGAAATGAGAACAGAAAAAAAAAGTATTTGAAATTTTTGAAGAGAAGGGTAAAGAGTTAAATTCTTTTAATGAATTAATGTTTGTAGCGTCAGCGAAAGATGATGAGGACAAGCCGTGATGGTGGTCTGGTTTCTCTCTCTCTCTCTCTCTCTCTGATGCACATATCCTGTCATCAATTTCTGAAGCTGGTTGCATATGCAACACTAAATGCCTTTAATGGCTTCTCTGACTCTTTCAGAAATCTGAATCATTTTGCCATAATTACAAAGTTGAGTCAACATCAGCAGTTACGCCATGGATTCCTCTTTTCCTGACATTTCTTTCTCTCATTTTTTCAAGACTTTCCTGATGATATTAAATTAATTACTAGACCGTGATGTTTCAATATTTTGGCACACCTCCTGCTTGTGTTTTTTGTGTAAACAAAACCCAATGCGTTTTTTTTCTTTTTCTTTTTGGATTTCTGAAAACTTTGTAAATTAGCAGAACTTCAGTACAGTAGTAATGTCAGCTTAAATGGTGCAACCCGTGCAACATTCAACTTGACCTGTTACAAATTAAACCCTCATCAGATTCATGAAGAAGGCAAGCAATTGTTGCATGCTCTTTCAGAGTTGGGGTTTGTTAATACATTTATACTTGTTATATATATGGAAACTAAATGGTATATTCCCTTTAAATCCTCACCAAGAGGTTGAATTGAAGATGGAGACGAAGAAGAAAACTCTCAGAAAATTTCAAATAGGTTCCATTTTTTAATGATACGTGCTAAATTCCAAACAGATATCAACTAAACGAAACTCTTGTCAATATTCTGACATTGTGGTATACCGATTGATATTTTGATGCTCGTGAAGTGCTTTTTTAGTGCTAACAAAATATCTTAAGAAAATTAATCTAAACGCAGACATGGGCTTGGTCAAATAGGATAGAGCGGATTTGCTCCCCACTTTGCACCCGAGTTCAAAATTCGAATAAATCTTATTGTAGTTTAGGTTAGATTAAATTAGAATATCACTTATATATATATCTAAACTAGTACATATTTCACTGTGGATGATGTAGCTAATATGTGCCATGGCCTCACGACTTCTGTTGATTGGGAGCATGAGTTATCCCTCTCTATTGTATCTCCCTTCTATTTTGACTTCTTTGGACTTCCTTGCCGTAGAGATTTTGTTTTATAATTTTCATTTCTGTATAAATAAATAAAAATTGTTCAATTTTCATCATGCATTCAAATTCAATTCATGTATTCTATCATGTATCAAATAAAAAGGTGTAAACTAGAATTCTCAAGCACTTCATACGTATGAGATTGATTTACATATTTTGTTTTTATATAATTTAATTGTCATATATAAAACAAGAAGTGCTTCAAGGGTTGTCAAATCCAATTTTGTTCAGAAAAAAACAACATGCGACATGAACACTGTGGCCCACATGTATTAGACGACTTTGAAATTTTGAAAAGTCAAGCTATGCTCCACAATGTGAAAAGTTAAACATTAACATTCCAATGAAGTCTTGTATAGCTAAGCTACAATGTTTGAGATGACTCAGTTTGTTGGCCCAAATAATCCCTTGTTTGGTATATAAATGAGTTGGGCCTGGATTGAAAGCAAATCAATCCTCTCAAACAATGGCCATGTTTCGCATGTTGGACCACACATATCCATAGTGGATTGGACTGGACTATCAGACAAATCCTTTGTTTTAGAAAAAATTGATAATTACATAGACACCCCTCTGTGTCAAATTCATTGATATAGGCTTTTGGTAATCACTTCTCTGAATTTTGGGGTGTTCTGTTTTTGCTATATGAGTTGCACATTAATAATTGGAAGCAGCTTAGCATGTGCTCTGATTCTGAACACTTTCTCAATTATGAGGTATTTGGTTTTTAGTCAATGCTGCAATTGTAAACTTATGTTTCACAGACACGAATACGGCGCTACGGATACACGACATAGAATACGGGAAAACGGCAAATCTCAAAAAATAGGACATGGAACACAACAATTAATTTTTTATACATATAATAATTCTTATATATATATATATTTATAAAAAAACAAAACAAAACAAAACAAAACAAAATATTGATGTTCATACTCCAATTTCAAAAGAGCATATAGTGAAATTCAAGTTTTCCAATTTCAAAAGAGCATATAGTGAAATTCAAGTTTTCCAATTTCAAAAGAGCATATAGTGAAATTCAAGTTTTCCAATTTCAAAAGAGCATATAGTGAAATTCAAGTTTTCCAATTTCAAAAGAGCATATAGTGAAATTCAAGTTTTCCAATTTCAAAAGAGCATATAGTGAAATTCAAGTTTTCCAAGCCTTTCAGATGTAGTTTATTAATTTTATATGAATTATAATTGAATTAACACATTATATTAGATATGGATATCCGATGAGTGTTCGAGGAGTGTCTGAGATGTTAGAGTATAGAGCTTTAGATTGTGACACTTGTCATAATCTTAATATAGCAATTAGTTAGTTCGTTACTGTAGCTTTATACAAGACTATCTCGTAATTACTGATTCGTTAAGAAAGAAATATCAGATTGTTCTTCATCTCTGACCAGCTTCTCTCTCTCTCTCTCACTCTCTGTCATTACAAGATTATAGTGTAGGTTTACTCAATTGATATAGCTTAACACGAGACACTTTGACACTTGGACATATTGCGGTGTCCATACAACACAGCTGTAAACTTCTTTCTGCATGCCACAGCCCACAGGAAGCTTTCAGCTAAACCTCCTTGAGAATTTGTCTTCCCTAACCATTATCAGAAGGAAAAAATTAGAAGGAAGGAAATTAACACTGTAATTTAAACTTTTTTTTTTAAAAAGCACTCTGTTTTAACATTTTGTCCAAAGGAGCATTGATATCTGGTGATGTACGTCTTGCTAGTAATAAAATTGGAAGGTGCTCAGAATTCATCTATAATGTGGTACCTTTCCTCTAATTGCAATCTCTCTTGATGCTTTTTTATTTATTAGAAGAAAATACAGCACATAGTTTCACTTTCATGGTAAAATTATATTTTTGGTTAGTTTCACTTTCATGGTAAAATTATATTTTTGGTCCTTCTATTTTGACTAATTTTAATACTTTGATGTAGTTCATGATTTTCCTACATAAACTGGGACTTGGTTTGCTGTGTAAGTCCCTTGCTCATGTAAAGTTCCAAATTATTATTTGTTTCCTTCATGAAAGCATGCATAAGTTATTTGACATAAACTTCAAATTTAGACTTGAGCAAAAAGGTCGATGACAATCATGTCATGTTAAAGAGTTACCCCACTGCCAGATTAAACAGGTACAATCTTCAATGAACACGCATTTCCACCAACAATGGCGTAAATGCTCTGATGAGAAAAGGCAAAAACACAAGTGGTTCATGCATTTACATTTTTACAGTCTGAATTTTTCTCTTGGTCCCCCATTCTGCAATCTGAACTTGGCCATTCAATTTACAGCTAATGCATGTTGGTAAAGTTGATGAGTGTGGCATAGTAGCGTTGTACATGTCCTTAATTGTCTTTACCCCACTTGCAAAAGCTACAATTCAAGCTTGAATCAGAATCCATTTCTGCCATAGTTAATTGCATGACTGGCTGCTGCTACAGTTCTGTCAACCAAAAAGAAAAAAAGAAAAAAAGAGACCAAAAATGGCTGGTTAATTAGACCTCATCTGCACTGGCCATCCATGCTAATATTGCAGCTAATTAAGGCCTCCTGTTTTTGTAAAGACCACTGACCTACCAAACACCATCCACCAGATGCCAATGTCCTACAAAGCATTGGCCACCACCTGAGTTTGGAAACTCTTTGTGTTTTCTTCAAATTAATGCAGTTGAGGTAAGTAGAAATGTATTTATGAATTAAATCACTAATTAATGCCTGATTCTCCCACCAAGAAAATTGCTCACTGGGTAACGATTTAGGCCTGATCAGAACCAACTGCTGGTCCTTTATTCAATCAATTCTGAACAACATAAATAGATGGGGTCTGAGTCTAAGCATCATCTCAGAAATTAAACATGGAAGCAAAAACATCTGTGTTTCTAGCATTGGCAATATGCTCATTGTTCATCGATTTGGCCCAATGCAGCCAACTAATCTACCAGGGCAAGTGGAAGTTGCTGAAGAGAAGCATTGGAGTCTCAGCAATGCACATGGCTTTGTTACCAAATGACAAAGTCATCATCTTTGACAGAACAGATGCTGGTCCATCCAACCTCACTCTTCCACAAGAGAAGTGCGCAAGAGTTCATCATCAATCAACTCATGAAGCCACTGATTGCTATGCTCATTCTGTTGAATTCAACCCTGCAAACCGAGATTTTCGACCGCTTACTATATCAACCGACACATGGTGTTCTTCAGGTGCATTGTCACAAGATGGTGTGCTTATACAAAGTGGAGGGTATGATGATGGATACAAAGTTGTTAGGTACTTCAAGCCCTGCTTAGACTGTGATTGGATTGAGGAACAAAATGGCCTTATTGTACCGAGATGGTATGCTTCCAATCAAGTCTTACCAGATGGAA